TATATATATATATATATATATATATTCTTATTATTATGTGGATCAGGATGAGTAAATAACAAAAATATAAATATAAATTTTAAAACAGTTTACACTATCAGGGTAACTGGTATAAGTTGCGAGCCACTTCTTATCAACAAATTAATATCTTCATTTTTCTGTATTTGCATGGATTTCTATATTTTCACTTGAATTTAGAAAGATTCCGATATATTTAATGTCGCAGAAAAAGATATATTACTAACTACTGAACTAGTAAACTAAAGTCATCTTTATAGATAATAAAATTATAAAATATTATATGGGAGATATTTTCTTTTTAGAGTTTTTTATAAAAAAAAATAAATGGATTTAAGAATAATTTAAGCTTACAAAACTAACTAATAAAATAAATATTGTCCATCATTTACATACACTATTATGTTCTTATCTATAGCTATTGTGGGATTTTAAACATACTTACACTAAGGACAAGATATCTCAAATGTGAAGTTTGTAAGATTGGTCACTTACTAGTGGTCCAATATCAATTTGATTAACAATGACACGATAAACCCAACAATAAATAATAATCGTTAGGATATAAGTTTTGTCACTTTGATTCCACCTTAGAAATGTGAATTAAGAACTTAATTCAATTTTACAAAATTCATTTATAAAATAGGGATTGTTCTTCACTTATATACATTATTATTAGGGTTGTAAGCGAGTATGGGTAACCCGCGAACCCGAACTGACCCAAACTAACCCAATGAATTCAGATCGAATTTTTCAGTGTTCGGCTCAAACTCAACCCAACCCCCCGATACCGTACAGGTCTTTCAATCCGTTACCAACTTAACTCAAACTGGTCATATATAATAATAATAATAATAATAATAATAATAATAATAATAATAATAATAATAATAATAATAATAATGTTTGAACGATTATTTGATCGGGACAATACTCATTGTCCCTCTTACTTAGTAATAAATTTTGTGTTTTAAGTTGATAGTATTGTAACAATATAATATATTTATTTTAAATTTTATTTTGTATTAATTAATGTTGATTTTTTTGAGTTGATAATAATGTAACAAATTAATAATTTTATTTTATAATTTAATTTGTATCATTATTTTCTTTATAGGTTGATAACATTAAATTTGCAACTATGTATCAAATGATTTATATCTTTTTTGAAATATTTAAATTTTTATAAAAAAATAAATAAATATAATTATGTTAACCTAATTAATTCAACCTAACTCAACTGTTAAATTTGATATTGGGTCGAATAACGGGTTTATGCAAACCTAGCCCAACCCAACCCATTTATACCGTTAATTATTATGACTTTATCTCTAATAAATGTGGGATTTCCGGTCGACGTGAGATTTTTAGCAAATACTCCTCACAATGTGACCTTACCTCTAATATATGTGTTATTTCCAACACACCTTAATGTCGAGAATTGCACATTAAGTATAAACTTTGTAAGATTGGATATTTACGAGTGATCTGAAAGTGATCTAATAACGGATAACATGATGATCAAACAACAGTCATTAGTCACTAGAACATATAAGTTTTGGTACCATCTTTAGAAACGTAAGTTAAAAGCCTAACCGACTAATTCAATATAACAAAATTAATTTGTAAGATAAAAATTATTCTTCATTTATACACACTTTTATAATTTTCTCTCTATTTGACGTGAAATTTCCAATAAATTCGCTCACACCGAGAATTGGATTGCAAGTGACACGAGGATATAGGTTCTAATACCACCTTATAAAACTGATTTATAAGATGAAAATTACTTTCATTTATATATATACTATATATATTTTGATCATATCACTAATGGACACAAAAGCTTCAATAGAGTTAATAATAAATTAAATATTTTATCTTTCACTTATTATTTTTATTTTTAATAATAAATATTATTTTATTATTATGATATTAGTATGAAGTATATATTTTTAAAAATATTAACAAATCTCGACCTTTAAAAAATCATGAATGTAGTTATGAATATTCATCTCTCTTAATAACCGGTACTATACTAGTCAGAATTGAACTTTCACAACTTAATTAAAGAAGAAAATATGCTACCATTTGTAACGAGTGTTGTTATAATAACAAGTGTTTGAAGACAACTATAAGCAACACCTTATAAATTAAGAGAATTCTGTCCTTCAAAATAAGATTCCCCTTCTTTGTTTGACCCTTATTAGTTACTAGCTAGTATTATCCTCTCCGGACCAAAGTTTAATTAATATAATATGAACTAATTTTAAGAATTCCAGTTATGTGACTATCAATACAGTAATTCAGAAATTACTCCAAAATCAGAGTCACCGAGTGCTTAATTATACACAAAAAACTGAAAATCTGAAACTCATAGCTCCATATTTATATTGCAAGAACACCATGACCCTTTGAACCAAAAAAAAAAAAAAAAACAAATAAATAGACAAAAGTGAAATCTCGTTTCAAGAAAAATCTCGAGAACCCACCAAATTACAGTAACTAATTACAAGCCAATTAAGATCCATGTCATGACATGTGATGTGGTGTGATGACATAACCAATTAAGAACTTGACTCTTAATTTTCACCTGGTGAGGAGAGGAAACCAACGTTCTTGGAAAGAAGACTGGTAAGACACCATGAAGAGAAGAAGAACAAGGAGCAAGGCAACGCCCCAAGGAGTTCCAGCACCTCCATGCAGGGTCTCTCTCTGAGGCAAAGGAACGAGTGAAGAGAAGAAGCCTCCATGACTTGCATAGTTGGAAAAGAAGTGCAACACTAGCAGAAGCAGCAGTGGAGAAACCATGAGCACCAGCTTCACTTGGTCCATGATGCTCTCCACTATGGACTCGTAGTTCGAGTACCATGAGAATCCCAGGAACATGAACAAGGTGACCAAGAAGAAACACAGGTGCACAGGGAGAGCAGGTTGAGAGTTTTGAGAAGAGTGGTAGGCCATTTTCCTTTTTTTTTTTTTAATCTCTTTTGCAAACTACTATGAATCTGATGAAACTCTTGTTGTGTGTGAAAGCACTTGTAGTGGATTGTTTGTGGGAGGAATTTGGGCACCAAGCATGCTTTTATAGAGTTGATAACCGTGCCTAATATAAGTAAAGTCTTTTAGTGTTTTTTTGTTTTCTTATTAACTTTTTGAATCTTTATTTTAAACCTCTTGTATCTTAAATTTCTTTTTCTTTTTTACATAAAAAAAAACCCGATATCTCTAAAATGATAATTAAGAACTAATATATATTTGTGAGATATATTTTTTGTCGATCAAATATTATTTTACTATAGACGAAAATCAAACTTGAAAATATCAAGTTGATCTCTGTGTCTCAAGACAAGCTTATAACTATTGGATTACGGGACTAGATTTATCTTAAACTCATAATAATATTATTTGAGAAGTATTGACAACCCTTTTTTCTTAATACACTGACTTTTATTAGTTATAATTTATTGAAAACTATAAAAATAGGAGAGAGAAATATTAAATAAAATGTTAAACTTATTAAACTTTGTATTTTTCAATAAATTTTAACTAATAAGAGAGAATATGTTTAAAAGAATGTAACAAAGAATGTGTTACTAGCACTTCTCATATTATATTAGACTAAGTTAGATTATTGTCAAGCATCCTTGTTGATTATAATGATCTATAGCCAAAATAGAATATATAAATAACTTTATTTTATAAAGTTGAGTGAGGTTTAAGTTCATATTTTTAAGATGATTCATAATAAAATTTATCTTAGTAATTATTATTGAACCTACCACATAGGATCTTTTATCAAACCATTAGAAGATTAATTGTAAATGTTTATTCCTATAAATTTCACACTTAATTCATCGAGTCCTTAATATGGAAAAAGTTTGAGAGACTAATTCTCATCTTACATGTCAATTTTATGGAATTGAATTAGATTGATATAAAGTTATGTTAGTTTAATTAATAATATTAAATTTAAATATCAAATAAATAATGATTTCAAATACTTAAAAATAATTTTATGATCCACATAACTTTTAGCTGGTTATAGCACTAGGTTATCTATCGAGACATGAGAAAAATGATATTAGCCTTGAATAAATTTGGACCATTTTTAAGGAGTAAATGGTTAAGAAAATGTGAAGTCCTTATTAATAGTATATGACTTTTTAAAGTTTGTTTGTAGCCAAAGGTTGTGCTTTCCCAAAACCCAAAAGAGACACACTGTGAGGGTCGGTGAGTTATTTTAAGGTAGTGGTTTATTGATAACATGGTAGCAAATGAGAAGGTGCCACGTGGTACCGACCAGGACCAGTATTGAGATGAGTTTCTTTATGGGAAAATGATGAGTCGGTTTTTATATAAAGAGTAGCAGAAAAGGAAAAAAAGTCAGATTTCCGCCGCTAGGCACACCTAACAATCACATAATTGGTGTTTAAATATGTGTGAGGTTTATACGTAACCCATGTCAACCATTCGTTAAAAGAAACAAAAAACCATAATTTTCATTAATTTATATACAGATTTTAACTGCTTTTTTGTGTTATCTTTTCATCGTAATTAAAGTTTCACCCTTTTTAATATAAATGAAGAAATTCATCATAAATTATATCTATAATCAGAAAGAGATACTTTATTTTAGTGTTTACAATTTCTTAACTATTTTTTTTAATTAATTTATTTAATCACCTCACTATTTTGAGGTTAATCTCATATTTTTTAATTTCATTATTTTTTAATCATTTTTCTATAATGAGATTCACTTTCACTAATATTGAATAGTACTCATTATTTGTGAGGTTAACAATAATATTATGATGAATTTAAATACCATTTTAAGAAAATTAAGTAAAATTCAATTCAATCAAATAAAATATTAACTTATAAAATAAATATTAATTTTACTAATTAATTTTTATATATTAAACACAAATGACTAATTTGTATAAAAGTATTTCTAGGAACTATTTATTTGACAGAAATGTTTTTAGAATTTTTTTTATCTAATTTTATTTTTTATTTTATTTTTTTATATTCATTTATAAATTAAATTTAATATTTTTAAAATAAATTATTGATATCAGCCCTTGTATATTAAATGAGAATTGCTACTTACACGAGAATGTTTTCAAGATTGAAGAAAATATTTTTAGAGATTTTTTTAATTTTTTTTATCTAATTTAATTTTTTTTATCATATTTATTTATAATAAAATTTTGATATTTTTAAAATAAATTATCAATAATGAAAATAATTTTATTTTATTATATAAATTATTTATCTAAAATCTAAAATATAATTTATATAATTAAATATATCTATTCATTCAAATTTTAAACATAATTTATATATTCAAATATAATATTTATTTATATATATAAATTATTATAAAATTTCGTTATATAATAAATATTTAATTTATAAAATGTGCAGACTAAAATATAAGTTAAAAGTAATCTTGTGTTACTTAACTTAAGTATAAAATATAATTTATAAATTTAAAAATGTATATTATACGAACTTTAATATAATTTATTATAAAATTTAATTATATATAATAAATATTAAGCCTATGAAATATATAAACAAAAATATTACTATATTTTAATTTGACTATGTGAAATCTTTTACATAAAACTTTAATATTAATTATAAAACAATATAAAAAACATAAAAGTAACTGTATCTAAATTAGGGGATATCTTTTGGACACTCAAATAACTAGTAACTTATTGACATCCGTGTTTATTTATTTATTACACATGTCATAACCATATGAGTTGCGTAACTATGCTCTCTTTCTATCTCTCTGGTATGTTTGGATAAAGAATTTTATAAATTTAAAGAATTTTAAATTCTTGGTATTTAAATTGCTTTAATTTTAATTTCTATCATTCTTAAAATATTTTGTTTAGATAAGTCAATTCAAAATTTTTAAATTTTAAATTATTGGGTTGGATATGATAATTTGATTCCACCATGGTAAAATTGTTTTAAAAAATATATTTATATGTTGAGATTTTTAAATTAAATTTTATAAAAATAAATATTAGCTAATTTTTAAATATTTAATAATTTAAAAAATTAATATTAGATAATATTTAATAATTTTAAAAATATTTTTAAATATCCAATAATTAAAAATATGAAGAGATAAGAGATAAGATAAATTATATAAGTGAAATAAGAAGAAAAAAATATGAGGAATTTCAAATTCTTACTTTTTTGGGAGAATTTGAAATTCTACTATTTTAAAAAATTTCACAAATACTTGAATTTCAAATTCCTTGTAAATTCTCCATCCAAACAAGGTATTTCACCTCAAAGAATTTGAAATCCATCAAATAAATGAATTACTCCATTTAAATTCCTCATCCAAACACACTATTAATGTATAAACAATGTCTTTTTTTTTTTTTTTTATCAAAAATCTTTTTACATCTAAATTTTGTTCAATAGTTGTGGAGTGTTTTCAACATCCGGTCAAAATTTGTCATGTCACTGTCAATTGAACGTTGATCACTGTTTCTCTTTGCTTTAATTATATGCAATCAATCAACTAGTGAGGTAATATAAGTTGTTTTTCTGTGGAGTTGTAAAGGGTGGTTATTAAGAGCAATGACCCTTGTTTTGGCTGGTATACACTATGATTTTTATATTCAATGAGCTGGTAGAGAAGATTACTACCATTACTTAAAAAATAAGGATGATCACCGATTGAGATGTTTAGATATAAGTTAAAAATATTTCTAAGAAATTTTATATAATAAAAAAATCTTTATTTTTAATAAAATAATTCACAAAAATTCTTCTGAATTTATATTAAAATAATTTCTTAACCTTTCTCACATGAAATGAAATTATTGTTTCCTTTTAATTGCCATGGCAAAAGACAAGGGAGTTCCTCCAAAGAGAGTGGGATCCCACAAAGATATACACTCCTCAATGATCTTTAGAGATGCGAATAGGGATCCACTAGTTATTATAATATTTATATTTTCTCTTAATTCCATATCTATGACTCACACATGCATATACATACTAATCACTGCAGGTGTTCTTGGATGATGGTACTTTCCACTATTATTAAAGGGTACCCTGCATGTGGCACTTTAGGGCTTTCTAGTTGGAATCATGCACCTTTTTTCTAGACACGCCGAAGGGGATTCAATAACTCACTCAACTAAAAGAGGAGTTATACAAATTCATGCAGAGTCTTAAGGTTTAAGTAATTATTCTCATGCATACCTTGCATCATATCCAAGAGGATATGAAAAGCTATAACATCATTAAGTAAATAAAATAGAATATGGGACCCTACTGAGTTGAAAAGATCTTCACATACATATGGAGAATCTAAACGGTGCATTTTTTTAATTGTGAATAATTGTAACTACATGTTTAGTTATATGTACTAATTAATATATACAAACTTTTCGAATAATAAAATAAAATAAGATCAATTAATTTTCTTTTAATAGTATGAACTGTAACGACCCGCCATGGTCTCTACACTTAGTAAAATCGCAGAGAATATTAAATTGGATAACACATACATACAGGCATAGATATAAAGATCAAAATAATTAAGTTTCTGTATACAACATAAAGCATCATATATGTACAGTCATCCCAAAATATTCCTTAGTGCCGGTCTAGCACAAACAAAAATTGTTACCCAAAATGGTAACTCAAAACACGAGGCTCAACTCCTCGTCTCGCAGCGGCCACCTCTACTCCAAGCTATCCATATGACCTGCTCCCATACCAAATATGATCATCGCAGTTCCACCACATGGAAACAGAAGGGTAAACTAGAATTCAAAAATCAAACATACAAGTACAAAATATAATCTATACTACACATGCATCCCAATCAAGTCCCTAAGGAACCTTCCATCTCAATCAATCATCAATTTATCAAACATGAAGTCAAACACCGTACACTTCATCAACAGGACAATCATGCAATACATGCAACTCATGACAGATATCCATGCATATCAATCATCTAATGCGTCGTCACGCATACACCTAGGAGATCTCCATAACAATAGAGCTGTATAAGTGACATTC